TATTTTGACTTGAATTTCATAACTTGTCACAGTGATCCCATTGGCAGTAGAGTGGTGGGTTGCCGAGAAGGCAATTAATTATCTTTCTGTCTCCCTGTGTATTTAAATTTCGTTTCCTCTCCCTAAAGAGAGGTGATGCTATGGCTTACAACTAATATGCTCTTGCAGAGCTCTCCACACCAATTAGAAGGGTTCTGTGTTATGACATTCTTTGATAGGATGTTATGACACTCCTTGATAGAAAGCCGCTGTCCCATAGAAGCAGAAACTTCATCAAAAGCACAGAGAATCAAGGGTGTGCTTTAGACACCCTGAATGGGAGGGGACTGTGCTCACAAGGTCCATCAAACAAAGCTCCTCCCACACAGGTCTTTCCATGCAATCCAGCAGGTTCCCTGCATTTACCTTCTCGCTCCACCCTTATTCAGTACTCGGTTAGAGGGGGGCCTGTAATCTAGCATTTCTTAAATCACTACTTGGAACTCTTAAGTGTTTATTTAAAAGTCTGAAAGCCCTCTTTTGTGAAAGGTGAAATTGCCTGTAGCCCAGCAGTAGGCAAAAAGGTTGGGGTTAATTCTTGATGAGACTCATGCTTTTCACTGGGAAAGGGTGAGAGTCATTGCCATAAATTATGCTATGACACTTAAAATTAAAATCATGGATTTTAACATATCCATCTCCAACTCTAATTTCCTCTTAGAAAGGCTTGCCTGTGGTCTCACAGCAAATTTCCCTGTCTGGAAAATGGGAAATTTCATCTTAAAGATGTGAGATCAAGTTGATATTTACTTGGCACCTTAGATTCTTAGATACTGTTACGTTCCCATTATCAGTGCCACGAATTGCATAGATATCTCATTTTACCAATTCTTTCAGTCCCAATTCTTTCTTCTCTAGCTTTAAGTAGAGCCAATTCAAATAACAAATGATAACAAGCCAAACAACATCCTACTAGAGATTCAAAATATATTGCGTTTTCCTACCCCTGGTCCTCTTCTGATCAAATCAAAGTGTTAAAAACTGAGCATATACAACATCTTAGGTAGGTGTCAAATTCTGTAGGAAGATGTACAATTAATTCAACCACCTAGAGTCCTATTTGGCTGGACAATTCCTGACATTGAAATACCCATTCTCATTGGTACTTTTGAATCCAAATAGTGATAAAAATGTTTATCTATTTGGATTCTTAGACCTGTGGTGAAGAATTATGTTGAATTAGGTGACAGCTTTCAAAAATGAATAAAAATATTTATGTTAATGGTGGCGTCCTGTTGCCCAGTTTCATCTAGGAAAGCTTTCCAGATTTTATTCAGAGAAGCATTGTTCTGATGTTTTTACCCATGGTACCTCCTGATCCTTATATTCTGACGAAGATTACCTTTTCATTTTCCTGTCTGTCAATACCTGGCAGTCATTAATATACTGGTAGGATTTGTTGTGTGTGTTTTTGCCTGAAGTTTGAAATGAGAAATACATCAGGAAGTGATGAAACAACAGGGTAGAGCTAGACTGTGAGTCAGGAGGCATGGATTTTAGTCCAAGCTTTATTACTCACCAGTTGTATGATCTTGGGCAGATCACTTAATCTATGTCTTAGTTTCATCCTCTTTTAAGGTTTTTATTTAGCTATTTTGAGAAAGACAGCATGAGCAAGGGAAGGGCAGAGAAAGGGAGAGACAGAATCTCAAGTAGGCTCCGCACAGTCAGCGCGGAGCCTGACGTGGGACTCCAACTCACTAACTGCGAGATCATGACCTGAGCTGAAATCAAGAGTTGGCCACTCAACTGACTTGAGCCCACCAGGTGCCCCTCCTCCTCTTTTAAATGGAGGTGATGATGACTACTTTAAATGGGATAAATTAAAACAGATCTAGGCAAAGATTGGATCTTTGTTAATTATAAAATTAATGTCTGCAGCTCTCAGTTTTCACAGGCTGTACAGTAGCTCCAAGGATAAAAAATGGGCTTGCATTTCTTAGAACCAGCAAAAAGTATGAAATGAGGAACATTGTGGTAAAAAGATATTAGCAATAAGTTCTGCAGTAGGTATTTGTTTTTAATCCTTAGATGTTCTCAAGATATTACTATTTACCTACATATTAGGGTTAAAATAGGAATAAAGGAGAGGATAAAAAACAGATAAGGCATATTCCTACCTTGTGAGAGCTTAGGTCTATCATCAGCAAAAGAAATCTTTGGTACTGAAACATTAGTTCTATGTTTTATGAGCTTCTCAATTTCAGTAGAAAGTTGTTAATTTCCTTGAAATGTTTTGAAATCTGCTTGGAATCTGTAGTAGTTAAAAAAGATAGTTTTACAGAACTTTCTACTTGAATTAAGAGTTAGTAGTTAGAGGGGCGCCTGGGTGGCTTAGTCGGTTAAGCGTCCGACTTTTGCTTAGGTCATGATCTCGCGGTTCGTGGGTTCGAGCCCCGCGTCGGGCTCTGTGCTGACTGCCAGCTCAGAGCCTGGAGCCTGTTTCAGAGTCTATGACTCCCTCTCTCTCTGACCCTCCCCTGCTCACGCTGTCTCTCTCTCTCTGCTAGAAATAAATAAAACATTTAAAAAAATTAAAAAAAAAGAGTTAGTAGTTAGAGCCATTTCTGTGATTTTTCCATTAAAATCCCCAATAATCATTACTCTTCTTATCAAGAGCTAGTCAGGTTTATCTTATAGTGTGTGTGTGTGTGTGTGTGTGTGTGTGTATATGTATGTGTACGTGTGTGTGTGTGCATTCTCCTTATTTGGTCACTGTATTTGTTATGATACAGGCTAAGTTTCTATAACAAAGAGACCTAGAAATGCAGTAGCTTGTTCCATGAGGTCATTCAAAGATCTGGGCTCCTGAGTCAGCTCTGTCGTATGGAACATGTGGCTTCCATGTTGAGCATCCAAGGTAACTGCCTCAATTAGTGTCATTTCTCAGTTAGGGGGAAGGAGACAGAGAAGGTCCATGGTAGGCAGCTTTATCATTAAGGAAGTGGATCAGAAGCTGCATGCATCACTTCTTCTCACATCTCATTGGGCTGCACTTAGTTATGTTGCTACTTTAGCTGTAAGAGAGTCTGGGAAATGTACTGTCTAGATGGGTGGCAGGAGATTCTTTTTACAATTAATTAATTTTTAGTAATCTCTACACCCAACATGGGGCTCAAAATCATGACCCTGAGATCAAGAGTCATATACTCTTCTGACTGAGCCAGCCAGGGGCCCCTGAGATTCTATAATTTAAAGGAAGAAAGGGAGAGAGCACACTGGCCATTAATTAGCAGTTGCTGCCATATTCATTTATTCTTCCATCAATTTTAATTCGTATGTGACCACAGGTCTCTCTTTTATTCATGCTTTTACTGGTAGCATAAGGATATGGCTGGTAGTCCCTGCAAGCTGCAATTGAAATAGGACAAGAATACAAGAATGTTACTGGTCCTTGATTAAAAATTAAAAAAAAAATAAAAAAGATAAAAAAAAAAACAAAAAAAACGGGGCGCCCGGGTGGCTTAGTCGGTTAAGCATCCGACTTTCGCTCAGGTCATGATCTCGCGGTTCGTGGGTTCGAGCCCCGCGTCGGGCTCTGTGCTGACTGCCAGCTCAGAGCCTGGAGCCTGTTTCGGTCTGTGACTCCCTCTCTCTCTGACCCTCCCCTGCTGACGCTGTCTCTCTCTCTCCTAGAAATAAATAAAAAAGCATTAAAAATTAAAAAAAAAAATAAAGAATGTTACTGGTCCTTGGAATTCATTTCTTTTTTCTTTTTTCTTTTTGGATGTGTTTTGTTTTGTTTGTTTTTTTTTTAAGTTTCTTTATTTATTGAGAGAAAGAGAGAGAGAGAGATAGCATGAGTGGAGCAGGGGCAGAGAGAGAGGGAGAGAGAGAATCCCAAGCTGTTAGTGTGGAGCTTGATGCGGGGCTTGAACTAACGAACCATGAGATCATTACCTGAGCCGAAATCAAGAGTCAGATGCTTAACCAACTGAGCCACCCAGGTGCCCCTGGAATCAGTTTCTTATATGTCGCCCTATCTCTTTATCTATTATCTCTATCTATCTATCTAATCTGTCCTGTTTGTCTCAGCTTATGATATGAGTTTCAACTTCTTGTTTTTAGGTAGATTCAGTTTTGGCAAGGAATCTGTATATATATTTTTGGGAAAGTAACTGCATGCTAATGAGTAATAGGAGTTAAAAAAGAGTAGAAATAATTATAAGGCACCTGTCAAAAGTGAAGTGCTATAGAAATGCTAAATAATGACACTAATAAAAAACTGATTGTCGTGACTTCAAAGGAAGTGTTAAGTTGGAGTGTTTTGACGTGTATGGCATTTGAAAGATCTAAATAGGTGTTTAGACACTCACATGAGAGACTGTTCTAGCCACTCAAGAGAAATAAGAGTCTGTTCTACCCACTCAATGTTTTGATGCTTCCGTGAGAATTTTATCATCTTTAAATATTATTTTAAAAATAAGGATTGTGTTGTCTTTATCAAATTCATATAAAGAAAGGACATTGCCTAACAAAAATGTGACATTCTTCTCAGACTGCCTGGCTTTGTACCTTAAGTTCCTGGAGTCTCTGCCTCTGAAATGACCCAATGCCCCTGAATCTGTGTGTTGACCAGACATGCAAATGTTAGGACTGCAAATCAGTGTGAATTTTTGTTAGAGTTAGAGCTTTTGGTCAGGCAACTTTCTTGTTTTCAAGACATATCTTTAAATATTTAGTCAACAACAGAGGCAAAGAAATAATTTTTTAAAAAAAGACAATTTAATGCAAAAGACCCACCAAAGGCAAAAATCTAGTGACTTGAATATAAGGTATAGAAAAATGAATGGATGTTGCTTATAAATATCCGTAGTTTTAAAATAAGAAAAGATAAAGACTTTGAGTCCTAAATCTCTAAATATTTGAGATATCCTCAAGCTCAACACTATCAGTACCCGTGCATGCTTCGATTTAAAATACAAGTTCTATTTGTTATTATTATTTTTAAGTAGGTTCTATGCCCAACATGGGGCTTGAACTCATGACCTTGAGATCAAGAGCCACATGCTCTACTGACTGAGCCAGCCAGGCACCCATGAGTATTAATTCTAAAGCATTATTTAGCAAAGTGGTAAAACCTCTGGCTTTGGACTCAGAGTTGAGTTCAAATCTATTTGGTCATCTTGGGCTACCATATGATCTTCTTTCTCCATACCTCAGTTTCTTCACTGGCTGAATGAGTATTAGATATTTTTAAAATTGTATTTTTTGAGAGAGAGAGAGAGAGCAGATGGGGGAGAGGGATAAAAGGAGAAAGAGAGAGAGAGAGCAGGTGAGGGGAGGGATAAAAGTAGAGAGAGAGAGAGAGAGAGAGAGAGAATCTTAAGCACACTCCATGCCCAGTGTGGAACCTGATGCAGGACTCGATCTCATGACTGAGATCATGACCTGAGCTGAAATCTAAAGTCAGATGCTTCATCCAGGCACCCCAGCATGGATATTAGAATAATAATGGTAGCTGCTTACTAGGGTTGTGAGAATTAAATGAGATAATGCATGTGAAGTGCTTGTCTTATGCCTAAAATGTGAGATATAATCAATGTTAGAATGGTCTGCTTTTCCTATTTGCAAAGATATTCTGTGAAGGGCAGCATTCACAATCTCTTCTTCTGGGTGATTTCAAATCTCAGATTCAGTGGGGTGTCATAGAAATATTCTTTCATGATATGGCAGTATAGCTTAGTGACTGAGCTAAAAATTCCTAGCTCTACCAATCTCTAGCTGTGTGCCCTTGGGTGGGTTAGTTAAACTTTGTGTGCCTGGATTTTCTCATTTGTAAGATGGAGATATTAATAGTACCTACCTCACATGGTTCTTTTTTTTTTTTCTGATTCTCAGTTTTTCTTTCTTTCTTTTTTTTTTTACAAATAGTTTATTGTCAAATTAGTTTCCACATAACACCCAGTGCTCATCCCCACAAGTGCCCTCCTCCATGCCCATCCCCCCTCCCCCCCACATCCATCAGTCCTCAGTTTTTGTCAGCATTCAAGAGTGTCTCATGGTTTGCCTCTCTCCCTTTCCCCCACCATTTCCCCCTTCTTCTCCCCCTTGTTCCTCCGTCAAGTTCCTCCTAATCCTCCTATACGTGCAAACATATGATATTTGTCCTTCTCTGCCTGACTTATTTCGCTCAGCATAACCCCCTCAAGGTCCATCCATGTTGCTACACGTGGCCAGATTGCATTCTTTCTCATTGCCATCACATGGTTCTTTTGAAGACTAAAAGATATATAAAGTACTTAGCCTAATGTTTGGCACATAATAAATGTTCAACAAACATTACATATTATTTATTTCAAAGCTTAAAGTGGTTAGTTTTGCTTGTTACTAGTAAAACGAACAGGTTTTGGGTGTTGAGTTTCATGATTTTCAACACTAGGTTTTCCCATTTTTAAGAGCAGTTCTTCCAGTGTTTTGTGATCTTCAAGGTGGGTTCTCAATTGTACATGGTAGTACAGGGTGCGCTAGCATGAATGAATGAAAGCAAACCCCACAAACAGATAATCTAACGTTCTAACTTTCTGTTAAGTGCTTGGTAATGACATCCACCTTCAGATTTGTTACAATAGATGCCAATGAATTAATCTGGGTGTTTTCTTTCTTCTTTTCTCCTATTTAACTTCCTAATGAAGTAAACCTATGGGAGACAACCGGGGTCTACAACGATGAAGAAAACTGGCATTGCAATGATTAATTTCTTCTCACAAAAGACATGTGGGTTCTCTCCTGGTGTCCCAATGGTAACTTGTAGTTTTGACAGTGGAGGCCTGAGGGCTAAAGAGGGTTCAGGAGACGGAGCTCTTGTGTCTGGCTGCTCCCCAAAACCACCTGTAGCAGACACAATACTGGTGATGAGGCAGACTCCAAAGTGTCACTCTTAGGACCTGGACCCAGTGGCCCGCAGTGCTAGAAATCTGCACAGTCCTGTGAACGCTTCAAAAGCCAAGGCAGGAAGCCTGTCTCACTAGATTTTGTTTCTCCTGCATCCAACACTGGAATACAGTTAGTGCTTAATAGTTGTTTATTAGTCAGATGCCTCATTGTAAAAAAAAAAAAAAAAGTCAATAATTTTGTGTTAGATTTAATTTTATTTAGATATTGCTAGTTCTGGGAGATTATATTCTCTTCGTCTATTTTGTACTAATTTTGTAAACCAAATCAAGGTTTATATTTACTAAAGAAACTTTTTATTTACAGCAACCCATGAAAAGTCTTTTTGTGAAAATTCATGATTCCTTGCCTTCTGCGTGCTTTGAAATTTCTCTCTCCCTAAAGTAATAAAGAAGCATGAATCTAAAATAAAACACGATAGAGCAAGCATATCAGTCTGGGGAACTGAAGTCATCCCTTCTTCAGTTTAAAATGAAGATCTGTCCACTTAGCACTTCGTTCTTTCAGGGAACATCTGCCACCAAATGTTAAATGAAAACATCTCTATGGGCAATTGAAAAAGCAGATATGAAAGCACTACTATGGACTCTTCAGAACGGAAGTGTTATAGATCGCTGTTCTATTATAATTTGGAAGTGTAATGCTTTATTCCTTATGAAGCCCATTCTCTGAGGTAAAAATTTTAATGCTTTCCCCTTGGGGCAGAGGTGAAGGCAGTGGGGAAAAGAGCTTAATTTGGGGGTTTCTTTCAGAAGTTGTGCAGAGGGGGTTCTCAGAGCAACCTCTCAGCTCTCTTTTGGCTGTGAAAATCAGGGTAGTGGCTAGCCTTTTCCTGCAGTTGCTCCGGAGGCAGGGTGTCGACCCAGGAAAGAAGTAGACTCAAGCTACAGGATGTGGCTCACCCTGCGCATCTCCAAGAGAGCACTTGGACCCACCTCTTGACCCACCTTTATCTTTCAACAAAAGGAGGAAAGTGAGTTCCTTCCGGAGCTTGTTGAGATGCTCCTTGGTGCTGGGCTCAGGCAGGATACAGCCGCTGAAGTGTAGTACATTTAAAAAAACTCTTTCTGGGAAATGAAAACATAATTTTGAAGTAGTCTATAATATTGAAATGCAGCACTCTGCTTCTTTTTGAAGCAAGACTTGCTTTAGGCTCACTGGGTGCAGAAGGGTCCTCAAGGCGAAGAGGCTCAGAGATGGCAGGAATGGGATCTTAAGAAAGGTATCATTCATTCTATGAAACAAATTGCTCTAATTAAAAAAAAAATGTGTCACGTTAGCAAGAGTAGCTCACTTGGTAATGTGACGGTGGGAACAAGTTGTAAAAAGCCCCCATAGAAACATCTGCTCTACTGATTTGTAATTTGCTGTTTTGAGTTGTGAATAAAGGGATTGGAAATTGATGGCCAGGGGTCCTAACAGTCCTGGCCATTCCCTACTCCTTTCACGCTCCTCTCCCAAGAATAGAGACCTTGGAAAACTTTCTCCTCCATTTTCCTTTCCATCCTCCTACCTATTTGGCTGTGAGGGGGAGAGATGGTTTCTGACAATATTTTATCAACTCATGACTGTTTCAGTCATCACCCACAAATTCCTATAATATTCTGGACATAATATTTACTAATTTGTACATTTGTAAATTCTGTGCCCTTAATACTCAGAGAGGACTAAGAGGAAAAAAATGACACTTATTGCAATATACACAGTGTAAGGCCACAAGTCTAAACGTCTAAACCAAACTGACTCCATGACAGGCTTTAAGTTTCCCCTCTAAACTAGAAGGCTTGAGTTTCGGCTTCCCTGAAACTATCAGGCAGTTACACATTGCCCAAGGCAGGAGAAACCACCCTTGCAACACCCAATGAAGAAAGGCCAGGGACCACCCTCCACATTGTTAAGGGAGAGGCCTGGAGATAGAAACTATAGATAGGACCCTGTTACCTAATGTTAAAGTTAACCTGTTAGTCGCCGAACAAGACCCTAGGCTCGCTCTGTGATTGGTTGAATTTAAAGGTACTCTAAATGTTGTAATTGGATCCCACCAAAAGTAAGGAATACTCTAGACAATATGTATGGTCAAACCCGCTGTCAATGATGTTGAATAATTATGATTGGATCACTGTTCCCATGTCACAACTTTTGTAACTCCCCCATCTCAAACCCCATAAAAACCCTACTCTGCCCTTGTTCAGGGCTCTCAGCACGGACCCATGCACTGGTGAAGTCTGTGAGCCCGAGCTTAAGCCCGTAATAAAGCCCTTTGCCTTTGCATGTGTGACTCGGTCTCCCTGGTGGTCTCTGGTCGGTGAGGATACTGCGATCTGGGTATAACAACAGTATTTGAGATCATAAACCTCTATGTTTACTTAGAAGCCCTATCTCCCCTTTTCACCAATGTTTATATTCTTGCTTTTGTTTGATCTCATTTGCATGAATTAAAATATTTTGCTATCTGTTTGTAGAAATGATAAAATTCCTATAATGTTTTGAATCAGATTGCTCACTGGCATAGGAAATTCTCATTTGTTTCATCACAGAGAGGAATGTGTTTGAGGATTCTGTAGGTTCTTGGCACTATTGTGCCAGATTTACATAGACTTTTTAAATACCAGTGCTTCTCCAAATTTGATGTGCATACAGATCACCTGGGGATCCTGTTAAAATGCAATTCTAAGTCAATAAGTCTTGGGCAGTGCCCAAGATTATGCATTTCTGACAGTCTGTCAGGTGCTGCTGATACTCTGGAACACATCTCACACTTAGACAGCAAGCATATATACACATTTGTGTTTTCGTTTTTTGGTTCCAGTTGTATGATTCCATTGGATGGTGGAACTCAAAAGTTGACTTTACTTAACATGATTTAAGTTATAATGAAATTTGCAACTTTGGCAATGAGCTGGCGCTATTGAGCTCTCTGTTTTTAAAGGAAGAGAAGCTGAGATCCCAGCTGGTGTTCATTCCTGGGACCCTCAGATCCCTTCTGTGGTTGTCTAATGGGAATCTAGAGCTTCCCCTATGTCTCTAGTCAGAAGGAATGACACTTTCCATTCTAGATATCAAGTAAAGATGGGTGTTTAAAAAATGTACTCTTGTTTCAAGATATTTCCTCATCATTGGGTTTTTACCAAATTCCCTGA